TTGTCCACTCCAAGTTCCATTGTGTTGACATCTCCTTGCTTGAGACCCAGATCCTATATAGCCATCATTACACGAGAACTGACAGACAGTGTCATAATATATTGTTGCATTCTCTGGACATCCAAGTCTTGTACCATTGGACGGTGCAGGCAACGTCGGACACCTGTTTACTGCAGTTAGAAGTGGAAAAACCTTTTAAGAAGACCAGTGGCGTGTACGCTTTTACTAGGCGCGTGGTTTGATGTGGTTCTAAACCTGACGCGGTTCTTAATTTTACGCGGTAGCGGAACTGAAGCTAGGTAGAAGACAGCGCGGAAAAGGTGGTTGCATGGCATATAATCATAATTTACTACCATTGATTAAATTGTACCTGACAATTTTCTGTTTTTAAAATTTGGTTTAACAAAGCTAGTTTACCTAGTGTGAACGAGGTACAATATACCAAAAAAATATATAAAGAGAAAGAATAGATACGAAGTCACATCAGCCTTGGCTGGTTTTCGCGGGGTTTCTCTATCATGGCTAGAGATGTTGGTTTTTGTGGAGGGAGGAAAACCGGAGAACTCGGAGAAACACCCTTGCAGCAGGACAAGAACCAACAAGACACTCAATCCACATATGGCGGCGAGCCGGAATCGAACCCGGGCTACATTCTTAGGGGGCGAGGGCTCTCACCACTGCGCCATCCCTGCTCCCCGAGTTGGAATTTGAACTGAAATGAGAACTAACCTGGTAATTGCCAGGAACTGTCATACGGCACGAGTCCCATTAGTTTATCTATGCCAACGAAGAAAACATTTCCTTCAGTTACTCCACTGGAAGCGTTTAGTTTGAAAACGCTTGTGCTTGCCCATTCCGAGACGAACAGATACGGAGAGAGGAAAGTTACCGCAAAAAAGTGGAAGCCGGCTTGCTGATAAAGCAAATTTCTGTTGTTGCCATGGTAATCGATGGATTCTACTCTGTCCATCCCTGCATCCACCCAGAAGACAAGCCTGCTTAGTCTATCGAGGGTGATACCGTTTGGCCATTGAAGATTGGACGTTACCAATGTAACACGCTGGGTTCCATTTAAAGATGATTTCTCTATTTTTGGCGTTGATCCCCAGTCGGTCCAGAACATCAAGCTGTTGATGAAGAAAAGGTAGACTTTGAGATAACACTGAAACAAAATACCACTGAAACAACTTGGCACAAATCGGTACCAAAGGTCTGACGTCTTCCTTCGTTCCTCGCTCTGTAAACTACAATGTACGGGATAATAATATTCTGTCACTCTTCAAGCCGAGAACAGCAGCTTATGGTCATCACTCTTTTTCGTATCTAAGTGCAAAACTGTGGAATTCCTTCCCAGAGGCCTTAAGAAGCTGTGACAAGATAAATGAATTCCAGAGGAACATTCTTAGTTCTATCAATTTTATTATTTAATAGTATGTCAAGTATGTTTATCGTAATTGAAAATTTTTATATTGCATTGTAAATTTTAATATTTATTGGCATGTCTTTTAACATTTTTATCTTATCTTATTTAAACTCTTTAATTTGTTAATTATTTAACTCGAAGATATTAGCTTTATATAGCTACTCTTAAATTCGGGTTTTAAATAAAGTTTATGTAAGAATGTTTAATGTTCGCCAGCAGAAACCCATCTCACGTTTGTGCGCGTGGGATGCACAATGTGGTACTCGCTTCTTCGATCTGTCTCGCGAGCTGCCCTGCTGTTTTGCTAAGTCGATCGTACATCTGAGGGTTTGACATTGATGACATAGCAGCGGATATTTTTGGTCAAAAGTCAGACATTTCTCGGAATGGGAGTGTCTGACCTATGTACACAGACTCAAACTACACTGTAACGTACTTTCGCGGTGAATTAATGTCTGATAAGATTAGAGTTCCCTGATGCTAATATACTTATGCACGAGATAAAGACTTCGTTCTCATCCCTGCATTATCTGAGTATGGATTGAAATAACTTTAGTTATAATCCATCAATTGTTTTCTTTTTGGTCTAACCGTGTCACGTGACTGAATATTCCCAAGGTAAAACAGGAATATCCGAATGTTATAATCCATCAAATATTTTCGCTCGCGCGCGATTGGTCTAAATGTACCACGTGACTAAATATTCCCCAGCTAAAGCTGGGAATATCCGAATGATATTCCCCAATTTTCAAAACTGTGCTAGTAGCGAAAAATATTTAAAGGATAACAAACACAATAGCCTCCATTTGGCGCCAAATTATGCTCTGATATTTGTCCCTGGATTGAAACGGAGCAGATAATGTCCCTCGACAAATATATATTCGAGTATATTTTCGCGTCAAACAAAGGTTCTTCGGTAATGCATGGACCAAGGTATAAGTCATGAGAGGGTGAATAGGTATTTTATAAACTTACCGTTGTTCCGGATCAAGAACAATTCCTCTTGGCTCATCAAGACTCGCAGAAACCAAATTACGTATGTTATTCCCCTCCAAGTCTGATGCCGATATCGTATTATTAGTCGTATCAGTCCAGTATAGTTGTGATGATTTCCATTCCACAGCAAGTCCGTCACAAACTCCGACGTTATCATTTATTATTGTAACGTTTGTACCATCAGAACAGGATCGTTTGATTTTATTCTCTGTTACGTCACTCCAAAATATGTAGCCCAGGCTAAAATGGACATCTACGGCAACAGCTCTCGTAATACCCGTAATGATCTGATAACTTGTAACATTGTCAAAATCCAACGCTACGATTTCTGTCGTGGCTGATATAACAAGACACGGAGGGTTGCACTGGAATGGTAAAACTATAGGAACAAAAGAAAGATATATATGTATTTATATAATAAGTGAAATGATTGAGTATTCTTGCATTTTAACTGGCTCTTACTTATTATCTATTAAAGGACAGACGTACGTATGTCGTCACTAACTTTTTTTTCATTTCTTTATTATATACATTTGTACAAAACAAATGGATTCCATGTTGCCCTGCGTCTGTTCAGCAATAGATCACAGAAGACGTCAAAATGTGGGAAGAATATTAACTTTCATTCTTGAAAGTTATGCAAGCCCAAGACGCTGTCAAAGGTTTGCATAACTGACTGTCTGGAATTCTCTGACCTCCTAATGCTGTGTTTAGACTTGAACGGTATACCGAGGTACCAGAGTTTACTTACCTAGGTAAACATTTTCCGTGTGTAAACGCCAGCTGATACTTTGGTAAATGCCGCAAAACACAAACGAAATTTAACCGAAGTAAAAGTTGTAATTACCTGTCGTAGAGACTTAGAGACTATAATAAGTGAACATTCTAAGTACATTTTCTTACGCTATTTTATTGTTATTTGTAATCAAGCGAGTTGCGGTCAGCGGTTTNTGAGAGGGTGAATAGGTATTTTATAAACTTACCGTTGTTCCGGATCAAGAGCAATTCCTCTTGGCTCATCAAGACTCGCAGAAACCAGAATACGTATGTTATTCCCCTCCAAGTCTGATGCCGATATCGTATTATTAGTCGTATCAGTCCAGAAAAGTTGTGATGATTTCCATTCCAAAGCAAGTCCGTCACAAACTCCGACGTTATCATTTATTACTGTAACGTTTGTACCATCAATGCAGGATCGTTTGATTTTATACTCTGTTACGTCACTCCAAAATATGTAGCCTAGGCTAAAATGGACATCTACGGCAACAGCTCTCGAAATACTCGTAATGATCTGATAACTTGTAACATTGTCAAAATCCAACGCTACGATTTCTGTCGTAGTTGATATAACAAGACAGGGAGGGTTGCACTGGAATGGTAAAGCTATAGGAAAAAAATATATATATGTATAATTATATGTGAAATCATTTATTTACGATATATAATTATATATTAAAATGAGAGCGTCGAACGCACTCTCATAATTTCTGATTACTACTAGTTATATGTATTTATATAAAAGTGAAATGATTGAGTATTCTCGCATTTTAATTGGTTCTTACATATTATCTATTAGAAAACAGTCCTAAGAAAGTACGCCCACTGATTGTTTAAAAATCGTGTTTCTATTTAAGCAATAAACCACTCTTTCTATGGGTTTACTGGCGCAATAAACCACTTGGGACGTTGGGAGAACACGAAATTGGCTTGTAAATCACGAACCGTCAGGCGAGTGATTTACAAGCTTTTCTCGAAAATCCGCAGAGCAGAGCGACGAAAACATTTCACGCTAAGAAAGTTTTAAGAAAGGAAAAGAAAAGGTTATCGGTGAAAGGCAAAGAGCATATTAATTAACTCAAAAGTATTTTGACGGGGAAATGCAGGGATTCGTAGGTTGAATCGGTCGTCATGATCACGAAAACAAAAGGCTGTACGAAAAGTATGCAAGTAGTCCAAACTTCATGTGCTTGGCGAAGCGATTCAAAGCAGTGTTTAACGATAACTTTCCAAAGTTTTGCGAATGGAATAAAGGTTAGTAACAGAAATGCTGCTTCCGGAAAATTTATTCAGAATTTATTTACTTATGCTGAAGGCTATGAAGTCCGTGTTTCTCTCTGTACTTTGCTAAATGAAAGCTATTCCTTGAAAGCTAAGCTTATGGAAATCAAATTCATTTATCGTGTTATCATGCCTGCATTGAGTTTAAACTCAAATTTTTTTAATAGAAAGAAATCTTTTCCCTCCTTTTTTGACAACCCAAACTGATCAGTCAAGCCCAGCTGACTTCGTCCTCCACAGACCGTGGAAAGCACCGAAATAAGGGTTTAAAACTTCCTTAATTTTAATCTCAAGCATAAATAGAAAACTTGTTCTCCGTGTTTCTTTCGAGTTATAGAAACACTCGTGAAAGTTTGGGAGAACTCGCTCTCCCAAGCTTCCACTCGTGTTTCTATAACTCGATAGAAAAACGATCTGACATGTTTTTTATTTCTTAATTGAAGGACAGCCGTATATATGTCGTCATTAACTTTTTTTATTATTTCTTTATTATATACATTTCTGCAAAACAAATGGATTCCATGTTGCCGTGCGTCTGTTCAGCAGCAGATCACAGAAGGCTTCACAATGTGGTAACAATATCAACTTTCATTCGTGAAAGTTATGCAAGCCCGAGACGCAGCCAAGGGTTTGCACAACTGACTGTCTGGAATTCTCTGACCCCCCAAGTGATGAGGCTATGTAAACACGGAAAAGGGCTGTATTGCTTAAATTGTAATAGACAAAATAACTACGGATCTTGACGGAAATATTAGCAGTCAAGTATTAAGTTATAATTATCCGCAACGAAAAGTCATCCTTCTCAAAAAAGCCAGTTTGTGAAGCGAGTTATCCACAACAAAATGTAAAAAAAAAAAAAAAAA